TTGTACAGCCTAATTTTAGGTTATCACAACTATCCGTGACTTATGAAATGAAGTAAAGGAGAATTTCATTCGGTGATTAAAAAAACTCATAATTTTCAACTGGGATACACTGAAGAGCTTTAGGTATGTTTTTGGGAAAACACCATCATGTGTGTTGTGTGTGTGATGTGTGTGTGAACTATGATGTATTAATCAAACTAGTATAAATTGCTCTCAAATAGATTGCTTTATTATTAGAAGAAAAAGGAATAAGAAAGTGAAAAATACAGAAACATATTCCAATTTAGCTGCTGGGTCTGGAATTATAGTGGAAATATTGAGAAAATGTTAACTCTGTCATCAAACATTGACTTTACATCTCATTCTAAAAAGAAAAAGTACTTTTCCTGCAAATAAAAGCTTAATACCTTCAAAATTAAAAGGACATCTGAGGCTGGGCGTGGTGGCTCACACCTGTAATCCCAGCACTTTGGGAAGTCGAGGTGGGCGGATCATGAGGTCAGGAGTTCGAGACCAGTCTGGCCAACACAGTGAAACCCTGTCTCTAAAAATACAAAAATACAGAATTTTCTAAAAATTTCTAAAAATACAAAAATTAGCTGGGCATGGCGGTGCGTGCCTGTAATCCCAGCTACGCGGGAGGTGGAGGCAGGAGAATTGCTTGAACTTAGGAGGCAGAGGTTGCAGTGAGCCAAGATAGCACCACTGCACTCTAGCCTGGGCAACAGAGCAAGAATCCATCTGGGGAAAAAAATAAAAGGATATCTGAAAATTTAGCATGATGAACTTGTCGATAAACCCCTCCTATATGTTCCTAAAAAAGGAGGGGGGTAGAGTTATTGACACAATTTCTCAGTTTTTCCACAAATCTTTTTAATTTTTTTGGTTACATAAATTAACCCATTTATTATAGGCTAGTGATGTCTCAAAGAGTAGAGGAGCGTCTACTGGTCTTTCAATTGCTTCAGTTCTTTACCTTGATAGCGGAAGTGGTATTGTAGGTCCAGACAATGTGGTTCCTGCATGAAGACACCACTACTGTCTTCATACAGGAACCACAGTGCCAGATCCCCACAGCTCATCGCTGCATCTTGGTTTTGCCACAGAAAAGAGCAAATGTACTTGGAGTGCTGGCTGATTTCAATTTTCTTCACCATTTTCCGGAGGGAGGCCCCACAGCGGGTCCTATATTTACCAATGATTCCAACTTCTTGGTTCAGCCGTGTCACCGTGAACTATGACCCAGCTCAGAGAGCTATTCCACAAATCTTAAGGAGAAAGACAATCAGTGTGCAAAAGAAATATGGGTCATAGTAAGTGCTGAAAAACTTCATCCGGTATTTATGGGTATGGTGCACATGCTTTCAGTGACAAATCAGCTGATAAATGAAAAACTATACTTCTTGGCAAAAACACAGTATCAGTGTATTACCTACCACAGAATATTTACAGCAACAATAACTATGATGTAGTAACAGTCCAACTTGCTAAGAGTACTAATACTGAAAGTTGCATAATATTTTTATGCCAGATATGTGTAGCAAGATAATTTTATAGAGGAATTATTGACTGTATAGAGAAAAATATATTCAGAATTTTAAAATAGTTCCCTTGGCCTCCATCACGGCAAGTAGTAGCAGCATCAGGGCGGCAGCAGTGATCAGAATGCGGTGAGGGAGATCGTGGACATTCTGCTTGTAGTCCCAGCTACTCCGGAGGCTGAGGCAGGAGAATGGCGTGAACCCGGAAGGCGGAGCTTGCAGTGAGCCGAGATCGTGCCACTGCACTCCAGCCTGGGCGACAGAGCAAGACTCCATCTCAAAAAAAAAAAAAAAAAAAGAAAAAGAAAAAAGAAAAAAAAGAGAGAGAGATTTCAAGAATTCTGAATATTGGCTTACTGGAAACTCTGGCTATTTGTGTACAGCTTTGTGAGCAAGAACTTAACCCAGAATTAATTAATAATCAAGGAAATATCACTGGTTATTAAGGAGCTTCGAAAGACTACTAAAGCACTAAAGGCTGCTGAAAACATGACAAGCTAACTTTCTGGAGAAATCCTGATATGTCGAGCTCTTCAAGAGGATTTGAAGACTGCGTTGTAATCAAGAACGTACAGTGAAACTACTGCATGCAGCAGTGTAGAAAAATTGTCCTTTTTAAAAAAATTATAGAATCATAGCTTTATAAATCAGTGGGAAAGTGGCTTATAGAGCGAACTATCAGGTGTGTTCACATTGCATCTTACTCACTTTTTAAAATGGCACCAATGTATTGGCATTGCTATGTTTATATTTAGCATTCCTTATTTATAGCTCTAATAGCTTTAATTTTCTGAGCAGTTTATTACATGTTTATATCTGCTGTGCCTGGTTGAAGTATGGTGGAACCCATTAGTAATACGGTGTGGTGGTTATATGACTTGACGTTTCCTTTATAAACTAATTTTGAATTGTTTATGCACAATAACTATGGATTTATGTTGTACTCTAACAGGATTTCAGCCACCATTTGTGAATTTTGATTTAGGTTCATTATATCAGAATCTTGTGTTTTAAATTAAGACCATGGAAAACACTTCTTGTAATCTGCCCTTTAACAAAGAACATAGAGTTTTCAGTTTGTTGGGCAGTTAATAGGGTGAACCAGATCATTTTTATTGATTTAAAAAATTAATTTGATTAAACTTGGTATTTTATGAAGAGAATAAATTATTACAGCTTAGTACTTCATTTACACAGAAAAATGATTGTGAGGTATGAAATTTATCATGATGTTGGACTAAGATTAAAGAAGAATTTATTGCTATGAAGAACATGCATATGCATTATTACTATTCACGACAGCCTATATATCTGAACTAGGGTTTTCAATTTTGATCAGTTTAGAAAAGAAAAAGAGCGGCCGGGCGCGGCGGCTCAAGCCTGTAATCCCAGCACTTTGGGAGGCCGAGACGGGCAGATCACGAGGTCAAGAGATGGAGACCATCCTGGCTAACACGATGAAACCCCGTTTCTACTAAAAAATACCAAAAAAACCCCCAAAAAACCCCAAAAACTAGCCGGGCGAGGTGGCGGGCGCCTGTAGTCCCAGCTACTCGGGAGGCTGAGGCAGGAGAATGGCGTAAACCCGAGAGGCGGAGCTGAGATCCAGCCACTGCACTCCAGCCTGGGCGACAGAGTGGACTCCGTCTCAAAAAAAAAAAAAGAAAAGAAAAAAAAAAGAAAAAAGAAAAGAAAAAGATCAGGCGCCACAGTGGATCAGATGTTCATGTACCACTGTCCTCATGAATACTGGAGTGCAATAAACCTATGAACAGGCAAGAACTTCCACGGCGTTAAAGAAAATCTTTCCTAATGTGCTTCTATATGATATTAACATTTTTTTCTACACTGTATAACAAAATATTTTATATTAACTCTGTTGCGTCTGTTGCTTTTACTTTATCCTAAGCAGTAGGTAAGTATTGTGAAACTTGTATTTCAGATATGCACATATGTGTTATGTATATATGGGTGTACATTCTGGGTTACAGTGTAAAATTTCTTACTGTGGGTTGTGGATCAAAAAGTTGGAAAACTCAGTGGGTTAGAAGTTAGAAGATAATGTTGGACAAGTAACACACCTGTGCTAGGATTTGGCCCACAGACCATCAGTTTGCAGTCTCTGAGCTAAACTGTGGAGGATATTGAATATGAGTATACATTCATAGAACTTAGTTTGTAGGTAAGTTGCAGCCAGAGCAGAGAATGATATAATAAAAACACTTTTAGAGATATTAATATGACCCCGTCTCAAGACTGGCGGGGATAGAGACTGAAGGCAGGTCATTTAAGTATCACAAAGACAATCTAAAAATGAGACCCGAATTCGTAATCAGAAAAGGAGCAATGGGGAAGGAGATAACGGAGGTAAAACATGGTGCTGAGGAGAAAAGATAGGGTTTTAGAGTTGGGAGAGATCTTTGGAATCATAGATTTCATCACCATCTTCGTCCAAGTAGGGAAAGTAATAGGAGAGGAAAAAATAGTACCCTCTCAGAATTTGTCTATGACGTCACAGACTTAATAAAAGAGCTTTCAACAGTTAATCCAGTTAATGCAATTAACAGAAGGCTTGGATGTGAAGGGCGACCCCTCAAATTTACTTTTTATTCAATGGATTAAAATGGCCAGTAATTCTCATCCTTTCAGACCTGACTTCCAATTAATTAATTACAAGTGAGCCTATGGGGCGTGCCCAATCAATTCCTTCCCCAACCTGAAATGGGTCCTTTAGCATTCTTTTAAACAGTACGTTTCCTGAAATACCACCAAACCCTCTTAAGAAGTTTTCTGTGATTTCAACAGTTTAGGCCTTCTGAATGAGCCTAGAACTCTTCATCTGCTTGTTAATTTTCCAACTGCAAAGCGTTATTGAACATTTAATGACCCTGCCCCACGCAATGCCCACTGCGGCCGGGCGAGGGAAACCAGAGTAGGTCGAGGAAGGGGAGGCCTGCGCTTTCGGGAGGGAAGCCGCTGGGGCTAGTCGGGCTGAAGGTGGGCACTTCCTTTTTTCCCTCGATACTTAAGGCTACGGGGACACAGGCCTGGCAGGCACGACGGCCGGCGCGTCCGTCTACCTTTGCCCAGAGTCCGCCTTGAATAATCAGCTAACAACCCCAGTTCCCTTGAACCCAGCGCGGGAGACCCGGCGCCATGGCTAGGTCGGTCTCAGGCACATCCCGATGCTCGCCCCGGGAAGCTCCTGGAGCGCCTCTGGTTTCCAGGTACGAATAGGAAGCTGCTCGGGAAACCCCAGAACCCTCCCTTTGAGAAAGGGTGCAGACGGCGTCTCCGTTTCCACGGAAACAGGCCGAGCCATGTCGTCACTTCCGCCGACCTGTCTGGACGCCAGACTGTTGGGAGGAAAAGAGGAAAACTGAGTAACAGCCACGACAGTGGACGCGAGCGTCTCCTCTGTGCGCATGCGCCCGCTCAGCGGCCTGCTTCTATTTATGTGGGGGATCCAACATGGCGGCCGCGGCGACCCTGGCGATGGCGGTGAAGCCCATCAGAACGTAGTAGCGGGGAAGGGGACGCGGTCCGCACTCACCGTGGCGTCGGCGGAGACGGCTGAGGGTGGTGGAGGGAAGAAAAGCGACGGAGAGCAAGAGGAAGGGCGGGCAGGCACGCAGCGCGGCGTAGAAGCGAGCGCCGGCTCGAGCTAAAGCAGAGGGCCAGAACAGTGGGGATGGCGGAGCCGCGCAGAGTAGCGTTCATTAGCTTGTCACCGGTGCGGCGGCGCGAGGCCGAGTACCCGGGGCCCGAGCGCGAGCCCCAGTACCCCCGCGAACCCCCCCGGCTGGAGCCGCAGCCGTACCGCGAGCCGGCCCGGGCGGAGCCGCCGGCCCCGCGGGAGCCTGCCCCCCGCTCGGACGCGCAGCCCCCACCGCGGGAGAAGCCGCTCCCCCAGCGCGAGGTCAGCCGCGCCGAGCCGCCCATGTCGCTGCAGCGCGAGCCCCCGCGGCCCGAGCCGCCGCCGCCGCTCCCGCAGCTGCCCTTGCAGCCGCCCCCGCCGCGGGAGTCGGCTTCCCGGGCTGAGCAGCCGCCGCGGCCGCCGAGGGAGACGGTGCGCCTGGAGCTGGTGCTCAAAGACCCCACCGACGAGAGCTGCGTGGAGTTCAGTTACCCGGAGCTGCTGCTGTGCGGAGAACAACGGGTACAGAAGATTCCTCCCTCCTGCCCCAGACCCCGAGAGCCTCAGGACCCGCCGTCTTCCCCAGCTGGTTTGCACCTTGGGACGCCCACCGAGCGCGTCCGGGTCGCCCCGAGGGTGGGGTGCGGGGGGCCGGGGCCGAGCGGGTGGACGGGGCGGTGAGCGCTGCTTCCTCCACTCCCTGGGGTGGCCGAGGCTCTCACCCGGCCGCACCGAATCCCCAAACCCCCGGCACTCGCTCCCAACGCCGCGCCGAGCCTGTTTTCTTGTGCACTTTTCGGAACCTCAGATTTTCCTTCTTTCCTTTCTGCACCCCACACAAAATCCTGGGGCCCTGCAGGCCGTGTGGCTGGGTTCTCCCTGTGGCGCTACAGCTGTCGTTCCAGTAGAAAGGAAGAGAAAACCTTGGGGGACACGCCCCCCAGTCTGAAGCAGAGAGATTGTGTAACCCCTCTCGTATCATCCTCATCCTCATCACTGTTTGTTTTGCTGGGCGCCGTGGCTGCTGAGGTGTGCTTGCGTGCCTGTGATATTTTTCTTAATCGAAGGGAATTTAAGAATAATTAAAGGTTTTCAGAGACTAAGGATCCCACTTTAGGAATGGAGAAGTGGGTTAGTTAATCTGGTTACTAATTTTTCTCTCGTGTTGGTATTGGAAAACCTTTTTAGCTTTCCTTTTTTGTGGAGTTTGTTCATATTGTAATTGAATGGGAAGGTGTCTCCTGTTTTATTTGACACCTACCCGTCATATTATTTAAATGTATTATCATTAGTTTATAGAAGAACATTGTACTCGGCCTTTGTAATTTTCGGAGGATGATGAGAAAAATCTCAGCTTTGAATTTTTTAAAACAATTGAAAATATATAGGTATGCTTTTGATGTAAGAGGTGAACAATGGAGAAAGGATAGGGCTTATGTTGGTAATTGTAATTTTTATTGTTGTGGGTTGGTGGATCTTCAGAAGTAAGTTAGAAAAGGAAATGATAGATTAACAGTAAAGAAAGAGAACAGTTTTTCTCTGTTGCTTAGCAATTATGCCCGTTATTAGGCTTTGCTTTAGCTCGGGTCTAATGGACTCCAGAAGTCACTTGTTTTTTCATCTTCAACTACCTTTATGGTCAAAATGACTGACTGCTTAGTCACAAAGTATCATGTTGAACAGTTTCACTAGATTTTGTTTACTTTATGGCCAGCTAATGTTTTGATCATTATTTAGAAATGTTGTGTGGTCCAATCGTTACAAAATGTTTTAAACCAAAATGAATTGCTTAAAGGTAGAGATCACTTTAGTCACTTCCACATAACATTTTGCTCTTTAGACTCACTTGAGTGCCCCCTCTTTATAAATGTGATGTCACTTTTTTCCCAAAAGAATATTAAAAATATTGGATTGGAGCATTTTCCAAACACTGTATTTGAGCTGCTAATCTAAGTTGGTTTGCAGTTTTTGTAATTTTCATAAATTGCAGGAGAGAAGCATTCTCTTTGTGTAAAAAGTACATAGCAATAACTACCTTTACTGAGTTCTTACTGTGTGCTAGACACGGTTCTAAGCACTGCACGTGGTTTTTCTAGTAGTCCTACAGAACTCCATGGGGTAAAAACTATTATCCTCACTTTACAAACGTATGTAATTTTATTAGTACTTCTTTCCATAGTGATATAATTTCTTAGTAAAACAAAATTTCTTAATATTAACTCATATAGTTTAGAGGATTCTGCCAAAATGACGTAAAATGTAAGTCACGGTAGAACTACAAAGACCTTTATTATGTCCCTATTTATGCTGTAATAGTCACACGATGGCAAATTAATAATAGATGTGTATCATTTAATTATAAAAAAGTTTGACACCCTAGCTTTGTTAACTTGGTAACACCAGAACTACTACTTTCGTGTAATGGGAGAAAGAGGAATAATTCTATTTAATTTTTCTGTTTACTTATTAACAATGTAGGTGTCTATTGGCCCAATTTTCTCGTTGTATATCAACCTTCTATCTTTTTTCATATACCTCTGAACAAAACAAAATCCATTGTATATAATCACCTTTGCAACAAAGATTTGCCACATTTTCCTGTGATTGCTGCCAATGAATACCCTTATTATGCAAGAAAGCATAGAAAACATATGTTTAAGTAAAATTGTCATGGTTTCATGAAGGGAAATCCTAGAAGAGAGACCGCGAACATTAGAATTGGTCTGGAAAGTTGGTGGTTCCCAAAATTAGAAGAATTAGAGGAGGAAGGACTACATTTTTGAAATAGCCATCTATCAGTAAATAAGATTTTAGTGCCAGATGCTGAAATTGGTAGATGTGGGGCTATTAAAAAAAAAAAAAAAACAAAAGGTGTATTACATATGGATACCATTCATATGGGTGCATTTAAATCAGTTCCCTTCGTAAATACTAAATGAACAGTAAAACCCTGATTTACTGAAACACAATCAGAAATTTTTCTGCGCTCTATTTTTAATGCGAAAAGCACAATTAAATAATTTGTGCTGGGAAAATACGAAAAACAAAACCACAGGTTAGCTAAACCTTTAACCTTATTGTCTCTATGCAGTACAGTGCTGTGATTGAGGTGGTTTAGGATGATGACCGTCATTGGAATCATCTCTATCCTGAATGATTAATTTGGTCACCATTTCTGGCTGAAGGGTAATAGTGCATTTTAGAAATAAATTTTGGCAATGATTGATATACAAAAAAAAGGTTTAACTCTTAGTAAACCAGAAAAATCAGTTAACCAGAACACCCATTTGTGAACATGCTTAATTGAACATTTACTGTAAAAAGAAAAATAAGTGTTTATAGTATGTTAATATAACTGTACTATTTGAGAATTCCATGGCATTTCATTGTTTGCATATTTTGGATAAAATTTGTGAAAGAATCTCCTGAAAGTGGTGTTGATGAGTTAAGATCAAAGGACAAAATTACTGCATCAGTTTTGCATGTGGGTAGTTGATAATTTTCAGATATTTTTTCACCTGAAAAAAACAAAAAAGCTTAGTCTTGATTGGGGAAGGGTGTTTATTCTTAACTGTAAAAGAAAAGTGAGTCCATTTTCTTAAATTTGTTTTTGTAGGCTGTCAAGAGAAATTAAGAGCTGTACTTTTGATACCTACATAAAGTACATAAAATATTTTAGAATGGCATATAAGGTGATTCTTATTAAAAATATAGATCCATAGGTTTATATTTATACATATAAAATGAGTCATACCACAGAGGAAGTATTTGGGCTTCACAGTGCATGAGGGAGCAGTTTGTAATAGACATGGCGATTGCTCACTGTCCTTAACCTGAGCCTCTAGTTAAGGTTATACCTGCCGGGCGTGGTGACTCACGCCTGTAATCCCAGCACTTTGGGAGGCTGAGGTGGGCGGATCATGAGGTCAGGAGATCGAGACCATCCTGGCTAACACGGTGAAACCCTGTCTCTACTAAAAATACAAAAAATTAGCCAGGTGTGGTGGCAGGTGCCTGTAATCCCAACTGCTCTGGAGGCTGAGGCAGGAGAATCACTTGTACCCAGGAGGCAGAGGTTGCAGTGAGCCGAGATCGCACCACTGCTCTCCAGCCTGGGCAACAGAGCAAGACTCTGTCTCAAGAACAAACAAAAAAGGCTATACCCTGGACATGCCTAGGATTCCTTATTATTCTCACTAGTTGATTCCTTTTTGGATCATGTTTATGTTTTTCATTGGTAAAATTTTTTTTGAGGGGTGACGAAGTCTCTCTCTGTCTCCACCAGGCTGGAGTGCGGTGGTGCGATCTCAGGATCTCAGCTCACTGCATCCTCCACCTCCCGGGTTCCAGCAATTCTCTTGTCTCAGCCTCCCGAGTAGCTGGGACTACAGGCAGGTGCCACCACACCCGGCTAGTTTTTGTGTTTTTAGTAGAGACAGGGTTTCACCATGTTGGCCAGGCTGGTCTTGAACTCCTGACCTCCCAAAGTGCTGGGATTACAGGTGTGAGCCACTGCTCCCGGCCTTTCATTGGTAACTTCTATTGGGGTGAAGTATTCTATAAATTTATTACTTATTACAATGATTTTAAAAATTAATTCTAAAATTAACTCCTTTAAAGAAGTATCCCTTTATTCTAATGTCCCAAGTGTGATGAATTGTCTCGTATTCATTCTGTCCACATTTTTCTATCATGTTTTTTAGACCGATCACTTATCAACTTTTATATCCAGAATGAAGTATCTCAGTTTCTGAGTGTGCAAATCTTCCTTCCTTCTGCATTTTTTCTTGCCCTTCAGAGTCCGTTGAATCTGTGTCAGTATTTCAGTTGTAGTATACCTTAATTTTTAATTACCTCAGTCAGTTGTCTGAAATTGGATAAAAGTAGTATTTTTATCCTTGTTTTGTTTTTTTTGTGCATTGAAAACCATATATATGTTTGTATACTAAAGTAGAAGACTTAAGGATGTGATGGCTATTTTTGTTTGTTTTGTTAAATAGATGGTTAATGTGGGCTTCTAGCTCTGTGTTTGTGTGTTTTAAACCATGTATTATAATAAACTTTCACTCTCCCCTACTAGAAGAAAGGCATGGTAATGCAACCTTTTTGCAGCTATTTCTCTTTTCTAGCTTTGTTTAAAAGTAGTGTGTATTCCCTGAATGGATATCCATTGACAGGATATTGGTGATATAATGGTTGTTGATACTGGACCTCAACAGAAAACCTTAGCTGCTATACACACTCAGTGTTAACTCACAGGCAGATGATTAAGTGTTGATTTTAATTAATAATTTAGAGCTCCTTTTAGAAGCATTTCCTGATCAAAGCAGTTAATCTTTGCTAGTGAAGATATCACTCTAGAGTCATAAGTGAGATTTTCATGTTTAGCTAGTGTTCCTGGGGATTTTTTTTCCTTGTTATTTTGGATAAGGTGACCATATGATCATTTTGCAGGTGAAGACAGTTTGGATTGTTGAGTTCTTACTCATCAAAACACTATGAAGTGTATATGAGTCCATTACAACTGTAAATATTTTTTACTATGAACCAACTTTTTTTAGTTTTAATACTTCTGACTTACTTGTTAGTATTAGGAAAAGTCTCTTATTGATTAAATTTAAAATATAGTTTCTGAATAATATAATTGTATAACATATGTTATATATTCTCACTAGTTTATTTCCTTTCGGATCACATTTATTGAAATAGAATTGAAGTGTTTGTTATATAATGATAAATAAATAAACAATAATACTATTTGTAATACTAATGGATACTTCTGTTTCTTTTCCCATTCACCTTGAATCAGAAGAAGCTCATTCACACAGAAGACCCATTTAATGATGAACATCAGGAGAGGCAAGAGGTGGAAATGTTGGCTAAGAAATTTGAAATGAAATATGTGAGTATAATAAACTGATCACTTTTTTTAGTCCTATTGACCTGTTTCCTTTCTGTGACTGGTCGGGAGGGCCTATAAATATTCATTGCCTGCCTTACCTTGTTCTCACAAATTGAAACCAAGTGAATGGTTAGATAGTCAAATAAAGATTCCAATAGGCTTGTGATAAAGTAGTCATCATTCATTTTTATGTTTATTTATTTATTTTGGAAACAGGGTCTTGCTCTGGCCCCCAGGCTGGAGTGCAGTGGTGCAGTGTTGGCTCACTGTAACCTCTGCCTTCCAGGTTCAAGCGATTCTCATGCCTTGGCCTCCCAAGTAGCTGTGACTACAGGGGCAACACCACACCCAGCTAATTTTTTGTATTTTTGGTAGAGATGGGATTTCACCATGTTGGCCAGGCTGGTTGTGAACTCCTGACCTCAAGTGATCCATCCTGCCAAGTAGCCATCATTTATTATAGTCTTTCTAGAGTCCAGGCAGTTTGCTTTTCATATATTATCTCCAATCTTTGTAACAAAACCACAAGCTAAGTAATATTGACCATATTTTACAGATGAGGAAACTGAGGCTCTGAGTTCAAGATTAAGTAACTGATATAAGGTCACACAGTGGCAAGAGTAAGCTACAGGTCCAGGTCTGTGTAGCTCTAACTCTATTCACTTTCTGCCACCATCGAGAATGCTATTTTAATTCCCTTGATATAGTAGTACTCAAACCTTTCTGCCTCTTAAGAGTTTGACAGTGAATATGTGTACTTCTAAGCCCGTAGCATCAGACTCAGAACCAGCATGATACCTCTTTGAAAGTGTCCGGTTTATGCTAAATATTCATGTACATTTTATATTCAGTGCCACAATATATTGGTGTTTGTTTGAATACAAAAATAATTTTTAATTACCTGATTAACTTGCTTAACATTTTTCTCAAATTTTCTAGTATTACTGACTTTGTAGAAAGCCCCACTCCTCACCCCACATTTACACTATGGCTTTAAGTACTCTTGGCACTTTGCTAAAACATAACCCAGTTGAGAAGCAACACTTTACCCCTCTGATTCCTCTGTGAGCATTGAAAATTATCCCACGAGGGGAAGGATATCAGCTCACACTGGCGTAGTCATTCATACTACCCTCAAGATACCACTGGGATCTTGACCCAATCATGCTGGCTGCTTGTAATTAAGAAACCATTTGAGGGTAGAAGAAATAGATGAGAATAGATTGGAATTGAAATCAAGTCCTAGGCCATACTTTGCCATCTTCTAATTGTGTCCTTTTGGTGAGGTTTTTAGCTCTGGGCTACAGTTTTCTCTCTCTCTCTCTCTCTCTCTTTTTTTTTTTTTAAGACAGAGTCTCTGTCACCCAGGCTGGAGTGCAGTGGTGTGATCTCGGCTTACTGTAACCTCCACCTCCCGGGTTCAAGCAATTCTCCTGCCTCAGCCACCTGAGTAGCTGGGATTACAGGCATGCACCACCATGCCTGGCTAATTTTTGTATTTTTAGTAAAGATGGTTTCACCATGTTGGCCAGGCTGATCTCGAATTCCTGACCTCAAATGATCTGTCCACCTTGGCCTCCCAAAGAGCTGGGATTACAGGTGTGAGCCACTGGGCCTGGCCAAGGCCACAGTTTTCTTACCTATAAATTGAGAGGTTCAGGTGTTTCAGAGACCCTCTGGTTCTCTATTCTGTGACCATATAATAACAAATTTAAGGATGGACTGATGGGTATTTAAATAGAAGGAATAGCAAAAGTTGTTACACTAATTTGTAGTATTTAATTACAATGTAATACTTTGAGACTATATTGTATCATGATCTATAAATTGTAAAATCCTATAGAATATATAAATCCTAAAATCCTAGCATATATAAATCCTAAAATACTGTGTTTTTTATACAAGTTATACATTGGTTACGCTTAATGTTTTAACCAACTAGTACACTTATGTGGCTCAAAATTCAAAAATTAAAAATCTTCCTTTTATTGTATTGCCCACCCATTGAGTCCCATTTCCTAGGCAAGTAACATTCCTGTGGTACTAGAGATATATCTCTGTACATATACATCTATTCCTTTCCCACCCCCTTTTGATACATATTATAGAATACTGTACACACTTAAGCTCTTTGCTTTTTATTTACTGCATCTTAGTATGTTTGGGTGGGAGGTCATATCAGGACAAAGTGCTTTCTCTCCATTGCTGTTTCACTGCATGGAACTCTCACACTGTAACCAGTCCCCAAATGATTTAGGTTGTTTTCAAAACTTTGCCCTTATTAATAGTGCTGCAGTAAATTAGTCTGTAAAATGGCATTTTACACAATTTCAAATTTATCTCTAGGACAGATTCCTAGAAGTAGACGATTCAGGGCGGAGGATTTATGCATTTATAATTTTAGTATATATTGCTAAATATATATGTATATTATATATAATATATATATTTAAAATAAATATATATTTAAAATATATGTTATACATATATATATATTTAGTATATATTACTAAATCACCAGTTCTACTCCCTCTAGCACTATATCAGAGTGTGTCTCTTTTTTGGGGTTTTTTTTTGAGACAGAGTTTCACTCTTGTTGGCCAGGCTGGAGTACAGTGGCGCAGTATTGGCTCACTGCAACCTCCACCTCCAAGGTTCAAGCGGTTCTCCTGCCTCAGCCTCCCAAGTAGCTGGGATTACAGGCACGCACCACCACGCCCAGTTAATTTTTTGTATTTAGTAGAGACAGGGTTTCACCATGTTGGTCAGGCTGGTCTCAAACTCCTCACCTTAGGTGATCCACCACCTTGTCCACCCAAAGTGTTGGGATTACAGTTGTGAGCCACTGCACCCAGCCTAGAGTGTCTGTTTTGCCGTGGGTTACAAAATCAAGGATTAGAATTGCCCTTTGCAAATGGAAAAATTCCTCTTTATAATCCTATAAGTAAAGTGATTCAGTGTATGATGCACTGCCTTAAAGTTAGCATTAAGTCTTCTTAGTTAACCCTAGGATAGTATCTGGCATAGAAAGACCAACGTTCTGAAGAAGTTATTTGATGCGTGAAACTGAGTTTCAGTTGACTTAGATATGTTCAAGCCTTGTTATTTTATTTACAGTGATAAAATATTACTCTTGTTATAATCTAAATTAATGGGCTGTATTTCTTCTCTGGATTTTTATTTTGGTGACTTACTTTCTTATTTCCATTCTAATTAGAGATTTTGTGTACATTAACCAAAAAGCATGCCCAAGTGTTATATCTACGAGTATTAAGTGTGTGTGTGTGTGTGTGTGTGTATTTATTTATTTGTTTGGTAGAGACAAGGTCTTGTTGTGTTGCCTAGGCTGGTATTAAACTCCTGAGCTCAAGCGATCCACCTGCCTCAGCCTCCCAAAGTGCTGGGTTTGCAGGTGTGAGCCACTGTACCCAGCCTAAATATATATAAATATATATATATATGGTAATTATTTGGAACCTTTTAAGAAAATCATCAGGCCAAAAGTGACCTGAGAGAAGATAGAGTGTCCTGCTAGGTGCTATAGGCCTAGAACTCTAGGCTATCACAAAATCTCTCTTCAACTACAATAATCTTGATTGGTGTTTGGGGCAGGTGTTGCAGCAGTTGAAAATCAGTGATATCAGAAATTATAGGGAGTATAGGCCAGGCGGGGTGGCTCACGCCTGTAATCCCAGCACTTTGGAAGGCGAGGCGGGCGGATCACCTGAGGTCAGGAGTTCGAGACCAGCCTGACCAACATGGAGAAACGCTGTCTCTACTGAAAATACAAAATTAGCTAGGTGTGGTGGCACATGCCTGTAATCCCAGCTACTTGGGAGGCTGAGGCAGGAGAATCGCTTGAACCTGGGAGGCGGAGGTTGTGGTGAGCTGAGATCATGCCACTGCACTCCAGCCTGGGCAAGGAGAGCGAAACTCCGTCTCAAAAAAAAAAAAAAAAAAAGATTATAGGGAGTATAAAATTGTGAAAAGAGCACCCTGCATTTAATTTATGGGGTTCCCCCCTCCATTGTGTCCTATTTTTATGGCCATGTTCTGTTTCCTGTTATGTTGTTCTTATGTTCAAGTAATGTGACAGTTCATATTCAGCATCAATTACTAAATGGTTTTTTGGGAAAAGATCAATATGACTGTTAAGTACTTAGTTTTACCTAGATTATACTAAATTGGTTGTTGTACATAAATCTTTTTAAATAGCTAAGTCCAAGTTTTGACATTTCTACAACTGTGTAGGCTCCAGATTCGTCTTGATGGTTAGAAAGGAGGCAGGATACAGGTAAAAGAGGCTCCCATACCTCTCTTTATTCCCAGTTAAGGATCCAGAATGTTTAGGCGAAACATCTTGGTTTTCAATTCAGTTTTTAGATGGTCTCTAGGTAATATATACCTTTTATGAGGCCACTTGTACTCTCTACTCTATACTCTGGAGTAAGATGCTTCGATTTGATGGGTATAGACTTGTTCTCTTGGCCTTCTAGGACATAGGATAACCTATAATTGTTGAAAGATTTCTCTTAGTGATTTTTTTCTCACCCCATTACCCCAGCCATTCTGAAAGATCATGCTGTCTTAGAATTGGATATAAATTCAGTAATCTAAATGAAAGCACCTAGCACAATACCTTGTGCCTAGCAGGGGCTCAGTTAAGACTATTTGAATCTGAACGACTCTGAATAGGAAGGCATATATTCTGCCAGACATTTATTAATATTCATGAAATCACATTATAACTTTAAAATCTGCTTACTGTGCTATATAGACATTGAATACCATCTTTCACGCTTAGTTCTATGTGGTTTTGGACTCTCAGAGCCCTAGTAGTTTCATATTTGTTTTAAAAGGAAGGGTAAGGGTAGATTTGATAATAGAAAAGTTATTCTGAGCAGTCTTATAAAGGAAACAGTTGACCAAAGGGAATAACACTGTTTTTACTCAAAGACAAATTATTCTTCTAAATACTCTTGATTTTCTTGAGACCCTGT